ATATTTATTTTGATAAAAACGAATAACACACGCGGGATCGTGCAGCAAATTCAGTTAATTATTTAAGCTGCCGATATCGCGCAATTCCTTTCGTGCGCGAGTTCCGCTCGGCACATCGAGAGAGCGGAACGATAAAATGCGAGGTGAAATTTGCTCGCTTGGTTTTTTGAAAGATGAAACCAAAATAACGCACACGAAACGTGAGGTGACGTTGATTTTACATTCCGGAGATGAAATTTTCATCTGAAAATTGTCCAATTGTCAACAATATCTGCATTTTCGAAGAATCGTATACGGCAGGATGAAATGTTTTTATTCGATACAGAGAACAGACGTAGGATCGCAAGCATGTGGAAGATCAAAAATACGCTTTTCTGAATATTTCAGCAACGAGAAAAATATACACGAACGTTTGTATTTGCTGAAAAAGTTTTGGACCGCTGACGCAATAACGATACCCGTGAGATTACAGTAGTTAGATCTATCATTGGTCAGACACACGTGTCTCCTCGTAAAATATGAAATTACATCGTAAATTTATTATTATTTTCCTGATGTTTTAATATTTCATGCGACAAGTACAAATACGCAATACATGTACACAAATATATAATTTTCAATTACAGCAAAACTATTTTTCAATTAGCAAAAAGCACAATTCTCTACATTACCTACTTGTTGGATGTAGAAATTCGCACCGAAGTTTCTATAAATTACAACAAATAGGCGGGATTTTTCAACAAAACTTCACGCTCTTGGAGTTTGACTGGAGGTTTCAGGGCTGTGAATGACAATACCCACAGGGAAATTGCCAGCTGCGCCGAAACGTAATCGAATCATTCGTCCTTATTTCGAACGATATCGGCCAATGAACCATCATTTGCATTTATGTATGGTCACAGTCGCTGGAATAATGTCTGGCCAATGATGTGGCAGTAGCCGGTGCAGGTCGTGTAATGCAACGTTGAAGAGACAAGCCGCCTAATTACCCTAGTCATCGATGAAGCCTCATTCGGGAGTAATCATCCGTATCGACTAATTCGACAGGCAATCGTCCGTTATCGTGCATCTAACTCAACGTCCACGCTTCATTAGTCGGAGCCTATCGTTCCGATATTTAATTCTTAACTCGTCTGTCGCCTCCCTCTTCCCCCTCAAAGAATCATTAAAGATTCGGAACACTCCGTGAGTTGATCCGAACGCTGTCCATGCAAACAGTTTTTGTCAAAAATCGTTTAAATTCCACTTGAATCTTCGATATGAGCGCAATTAACGAATCCCACTCCTTTCGACTGAACATTTTCATTCTCCTCGCGCAATTAAGCAACAGTTTTTTCGAGAATGTTGTTACGATCAAGAGGGAAACAGGGATAGGTGGATTATGACTTATCGTGTGTAATGAAACTTTCGAGGTTTAAGCCAGCGCGATGAACTTTGCAGCGTAATTAAGAACGATTCTGAACGATCGTTCGTGCTCAGTTTCGACGTCGAAGCACGCCAAAGTCAAAAACGTTCGTTGCCGGCCGGCAATCACAATACATCCCTGTCTGTTTGTACATTACGCGCGCGAACCGTGAAATCAATAATTAAAGCGAAACGAGATAATGAAGCGATGGAAATGCTTAAACAACAAAGAGGAAAACAGGTTAATGCGGCCAACGGGTACAACGGTGTAATACGGTAGAATAAGAGTATACGGGCGAATTAAATCGCTTGTAATTTAAACGCTCGCCGAAGTTGGACGGCGTGACTTCGATCGATAACATCGAAACTTGATAACTGAAATACATGCACGCGCCTCGAGATTATTCTCACGGAGTTTAATAAACGTACGACAAAGCCGAGGAACGTAATTAAAGGAACGGGAATGAAGAAATGGGGAGGAAAATAATTTCAGACGAATTATGATCACACAATTTTGAAATTACAAGTTTCTGCCAGACGCGTCGCTGTATTAATTACTTCACGTTCTATGCACGAATAGGATTTCAACGGTTTATGTGTGTTATTTGGATAGTACATATTTGCTTACGAAAAGTTAATTTATTTCGTTAATTAATTTTCCAGCGACACTCGATATATATATATATATATTTTTTTTAAAGCGTAAGTCAGTCACCGTTCGCTGGTCAATCAAGTTGTAATTCACTTCTCTGTCGCGACATATTTTTCATACAAAAGAGCACTTCGAACGAGTGATTAAAAAAAAGAGAGAAATTTTTTAATTACATAGATCCACGGAAATCGGTGTTTCAAAATGCGTGTAAATACATAAGCGACACAAATGGACGTGGAGTTTAATTACAGTTAAAACACACACACGCACAGACGTACGTGTGTACATTTCCGTTCGCTTCGTGTGGAAACATTTTTACTACGCACGAAACGGAACTGATCGAATTATCGTAACTTCCTCGTCTGGAAAGAAAGAAACCGTGGGAACGGTTCTCGACCGGTTCAAAGATCAACGAATGCACATCCACCGTCTCGCGACGTTCGTCGTAGAAACGAAACGTTTCTTTCTTTTTTTCTCTCACTTTCCATCTTTCTTTCTTTCGTTCTTTTTCTCGGTCGCGGTGTTCGCCGTCTGTCGACCGGCACCGAGAGAAGAAATTGTTACGGCAGCGAGAGAAATGAAAAATGGCCGGCTATAACCGTACGTCTTACGTGGAAGCCTGTTGTCTCGTAAGCCGAGATGCAGAAGCTTGCAAAGCTCCCGCGACGCGGTCTCATCCGTGACATTAATAATTGCGGCTTGTGTACCCACGAAAATTACTCTCTTTATCTGTCCTCCTTGTCCTCCGCCATCTTGGCCAACCCTTCCCCTCCTCCCCCTGCTTCCCGCTCGCCCCCTCTCCCTCACTTTCTTTTTCCTCTCTTCTCCTCTGTTCCCTTCTTTCCTCCCTCTTTCCCTCCTCCCTTCCTCTTCTTGTTCCAGCCGCAACGTTTCTTTCCGCCAGCTCTTCTTCTTTTCACCAACGTGGTTATATTTACGAAGCTTTAATCCCCCGCCAAGTAGAGTAGCTCGACTTTAGACGGGCAAAAGTGTCACTGCCCCTTAGAAATTTCGTAAACGCTAGATAGATATATACGCTGCGAGTATCGTCCGGGTTCTTTCTATCGGCCTGAATCCCCCTCTCCCTCGTCCTCACTTTCCTTCGTAGAACGGGACCTTCTAATGCACGTCCTTCGTTCGCGACTAGATGAACTTCCGGTGTTTTGGTAGCTTGCAAAGTGATTCTCGCTCTCTTTCTTTGAAAGACGAGAGCTTTCCATCTTTGACCAAGCATCGGACAATTTCTCCGCGAGGAAAGATCCGAGGAAAGGGAATCATTTGAAAAATAAGGAAATCAAAAATTTATACGATATACGCAAAAAACGTCTAAAATAATAACTAACAACTAACTGAAAGTTAATAACCGATGTACTTCTCGTCGTCGATACGGTCGCGACCGAGAAGTTACAGTTTTCCTTCCGGCGTTCATCCTGTCCCTTCACTGCCACTTTCCCCTTTCAATGCCAGACTCCATAAGTGTGCACTTTCGTCTGTTGGCCGTCGTCGAGGGCCGTATGTTTATGGAGCCACGAATTCGCCTTACGTGCCCGCCGTCTGCGACGCAGACAGGTTTCACGGCAATATTCATGGCCCCTTCAACGGCCATGTTGAACGCGCGCGGCCTCCATGGACGTTCATTTCGCAAATTGTCGAGCGTACAAAGAAACCAGCGGAATGAAGGAATTCGCTTCCGGTGTTATCTTTGCAATTAACACAGCGACTCTCTCGACGTATTTCTGTTACGAGATAATAAAAAGTCCGCGTCAGATTCAGCATGAGCGAAGCGTAATATCCAAGCGGACCGATTATTCGTGGTACATGGTTATACAAGTGCACGAGCGTTATAAGCCGTCGACGAGCGATTTTCAATCTCTCGAAACCTCCGAGCCCGGCAAACAGACTTATTTATCGGGCCATCAAAGTACAGCGGACTGCTCCCTGCGGATGACAGG